TATATTTCTAATATATTTTTAATATATTTTTAAATTTATAATATTATAAATATATGATAATCATATGATAATAATATAATAAACATATTTTGCAAAAAACTAAAGTTTCAGTAAAGTAATGAAAGTACTATAGCATCTATATATATTCTGAATAATATTATTGAAGATGCAATTCAAAAAGAAAAAGATTTGTAGTTAGCTTTTTAGAACATATAAAAAGCCTTCAACTTAGTTAGCATATATGCTTTAGAACTCTCTATGAGAAGAATTAAACTTCCAGAGAATCTAATTATATTTATTAAGCAATTATATCAAGATCATAAAATAAGAATAATAACTGATGAAAGCCCAACAAACTTATTCATAGCTGAAGACAGAATAGATCAAGATGAAGTAATCTCTCCTTTAATGTGAAGAATATTTTACGATCCACTACTAGTAAGAATACAGTAGCTAGGAATTTAGTACCAAATGGAGCTTCAGTAGCTAATAGATATTGAAAGATATATATATAAAACAGAAAAAGCTATAGTCTTAGCGTTAGCATATACAGATAATACTATATAGATAGCAGAATCAAAGCAAGCATTGCAAAAAATTATACAGGTATCAAATAGCTTTTTTGTACTAAATAATATTGAGATAAATGGAGCAAAATCTAAAGCAATTGTATAGAGATCCTACAAGCAATGGAAAAAAGAAGAATATATATAAATTAGAATATTACCAAGCCTGGTTAAAGTTAAAGAACCAGAAGAAAGTACAAAGTTCCTTGAAGTTTGGATAAGTCTAAGAAAACAAGAGAGAACAAGTATCCTATAGTGCAAAAAAGAAGTAGAAAAACTAATCTATATACTAAAATACAAAAAACTCTTAGCAAGCTAGATAATATATATAAACAATATAGTACTACTTTCAAAGCTTAAATATCTGCTAGCAAATGTATGTTTAAAAAAAAAAATCATGTAATAGTATATACTAACCTAGGTATATTTAGATTAATTAAATAGAAATTAGAGCTACCTTCTATATATGTAAATGCAACTCTTTGGTATAAAAAAATTTTTAGAGTAGTAAGCCTATTGCAAAAGTATATTGATACTATATATTAGAGCTCTTCATAAGAATGAATACAAATAGTATCATAGATATTACTACTTTAATGAGATTAAAGTAGTCATAACTAGATATAAATATACTAGAGTATATACTTATAGTAAAAAATATGAGTGAGAAAAAAATTAAACATAGAAATCTAGGAGCCACAATAATACAACATGCAAAAAGATATAATTTAAGAGTTGTAGAGAATGATTTCACAGCAAGCTGAAACTTCATAAATTTGTAGAAAGGAAAAGACTACTTTATTAGTAATATCCTTAATAAATATAATATAAAAGAAGGACAAGAAGGTATAAGTAAGCTTGACTTATAGCATGTAAATTAGTTAATAGATAAAGAACAAGAAAGAATAATTACTTGAAGGTAACTAAAAATAAGAGAAAGAAAGAGACATGTCAGTAAGAAGGCTAAGTAGTTCTAAATACTAGAGCATGAAATTATCAAAGATAAGAAATCAAGAGTAGTAAATAAAGAATACCAAAAAATAAGAGGGTTTCAAGTACAAGAAATTGAAGAGAGAATTTATGTGACAAAAGAAAGAAAGAATAGGTACTTATAAAAGAAAAAGAGAATAAGGAAAACGAAATAAGTCATATTGTCAGAAAAAAAAAGAAGCTTATAGAAGTAGAGATCTAGGAAAAAGATCATAAGAACTCATATATTGAAGACAGCCAACAGAAAGTATATAAAGAAGAAATCAAACTGAAAAAAAATAGCCAAAAGCAAAGGATAGCACTTAAAGAAGTCCACAATATCTTAAGCTTCATACAGAAAAAGAATAATAGAGAAATTCTATTTTGACCTAGGTTAAATTGACCTATCACGTGATTTTGTAGCTAGTATAGCTTACCTAATATGCAGAATCATCTATCAAAATTTGTCACGTGATCACTATTTTTGTAATGTTGATTACATGACTGCTCTTTGACATGAGCTAATCAACTGCACTATCAATTATATTTGCATTTGGTTCAAGTTGAACCTAATTCAGGTTAAAGCTAATTCAAGTTTAGTACCAAATTCAGATTAAAGCTAACTCGAATTTAGTCAACTTGAACCTAATTTGGTTAAATTTGAACTAAATTAAGGTATTATAGTACCACAAATAGACTCAACATACTGTAAATGATTCGAATCCAAAAGGAACTAACAAACTGTCAGTTTGTAAAAAATCTGCATCTTTCTAACAAATTTTAATGCATAAAATTTTTTTATATGGTTTTAATCTACCTAACCACATGCAGCTTTTGTCTACTCAAATACAAGGCCAAATTTATGCTACTCTTTTGTTAAAATTTTTGAACATAGGATCATATGAATGTAAAATGCAGGGATTTTAGTCTGAGTTTGAATACTTACAAAATATAATAACGCGAAAGTTAATTTTTACTTTTTTTACTCAAATCTGTCATCAAGAATAAACTTATCTATACATGCAACTTCTTTTTTTTTTTTTTTGTGTCATAAACACTATAAACTTGTCAATTGCTGCAATATAAAATGAACCTTGAACAATTGTCTAAAAATAATAACTGTAATGATAAAGTTGGAACTAGCTATGACATTAATATTAGTAATGGCTATGACAACGATTCCTTTAATCTTCTTAATAGTAGTTGCAACATGATTTTACCTGAACAAGCAACATTGGATAGTAATAATATAATTACAATAGATAACGATTCCCTTAAACTTTTTAATAATCACCGTAACATAATTTTACCTGAACAAGCACCTTTAGCTATTGATATTATGGTTATAATAGATGATGATTCCATTGACCTTTTTAATAGTAGCCATAATATAATTTTATCTGAACAAGTATCTTCAACTAGTAATAATGCAGTTATAGTAGATGATAATTCCTTCAACCTTTTTAATGGTAGCCATAACATAATTTTATCTGAACAAGCATCTTCAACTAATAATAATCATGTTATAGTGTTAGTTGGTTAGACCTTTGATAATTGGTATGATGTATAGCAACATATTAATGCTTATGCAATAAATCAAAGTTTTGCTACAAGACTTCATCATACGGAAAGAAATATAGGCTTTATTACTAGAGTGAAAATTGTTTGTCATCATACTAGTATTGTGTTTAATACAAGTACTAGATTAAGAAAGATTAAAAGTATTGCTATTGATTGCTCCTGTAAAATAGTAATTCGTTGAACAAAAAATAAATACTATGTAAGAAGTGTTAGCCTTGAACACAATCACCTTTTGGATTTTGCTGCTGTTATATTTGATTTTGGCCACTATAGGTTAAGCAGCAATGAAAGTATACATATACAAATGCTCTATAATAGTAGTGTACTAGTGTCGACAATTGTAAATATGTTAACTATACAGTATAGTAGATACATTCATAATAAGGATATTTATAATTCTTTAAGTCATCATTCCTATGATTATGTGAAAGGTTTGTCTCAAACCACAGAACTATTAAATAACCTAAACAATAATAATGAATATCAGGTTACTTATTCAGTCAATAATGACAAACTACATTATTTATTTTTCACTACCCGTTCAGCACTTTCTATGTTTAAGCATTATCCAGAGATTCTATCAATTGATTCCACATATAAAATGAATCAATTTGGAATGCCACTTTTGCTTGTCACTGGTGTTGATATGATAGGCATTACATTTTTTATAGTAAGCTACCTTATTGCTAATGAAACAGCACAAAACTTTCACTAGGCATTTTGTTAATTAAAACAAATGATTGAGGACAAGACTTTTTACGATATACAAACAGTTATAACTGATGCAGATTGTGCACTTATTTCTGTAATATGAACTGAGTTGTCACATATTAAACATCAAATTTGTATTTGGTATATTAAACAGAATATAATTAAGAATTTAATTGGCAAGTTTAAAAACAAATTTACAGCATTTAGCAAAGATTTTAAGGTAGTGATGTTTGAAACTACGGAGAAGCAATTTAATGTTCGATGGGATTGTTTATTATCTGAATATCCTGAGGTGAGTAATTATATAGTAGAGCAATGAAAACCTTATGATAATATGTAGTATTTTGTTATACCAATAAGAATGTCAACTATGAGATAAAAACAATACAATGATCTGAAGCTACTAATATATATTTAAAACGATTACTCAGTCATATAGCATCTATACCTGAATTAATTAATGTATTAGAAAAATTAACTCAACACCAACTTCAGTATTCTCAATATCAATAGTATCATTTACATAGTAGCATTCGTCAGCAGTATCCTAAATTACTAAAGGAAGTTTCAGTGGTTATATCAGATTTTGTATATGTATTATTATTAGAGCAATACAACGTGGTTAATACTTATGATATTAAAAAACAAGATAATAGTTTTGTCCAGGTCTATCGTAGTAAAAATAATAAATATACAATATATAAAATAGACAATATATATTTGTTCTTGTAACTATAAGATTCAATATTTCTTATCATATCGCCATATCCTTGCTATTCATATTATTAATAAGAAAGCCTTAAGTATTAATTATATAGGTGCTTGTTGGGTTATTGCATCAGCAGGATTTACAACATCTAAAGAACAAAATAATTTTATTAACAATTTTAACAATTTTAATAAATCTACTACTGAATTAGCTAACGAATCTACTACTGAATCTACTATTGAATCTATTACCGATTTTATTACTGAATCTACTCTTGAATCTACTACTGAATCTACCACTAAATTTAATGATATAATTTACAATATATCTTCTAATCAACAAAGATCTAAAAGTACTACAGATTTACTTAAGGATATTAAAAATATCTCTAATCGAGTGGGTCACGTTGAAATAAATAATACTCTCACTCTTTTTGTAGAACAGTTAAATCAAAAATATCTATTATCACAAGAAGATATTAGTGATCCTATTATCGCAAAGACAAAAGAAAGGCCAAGTAGTACTAAACGCATGAAGACAGACACTGAGCAAGTTACTAAAAAACTATACGTTTGTAGTATTTGTAGTGGTGTTGGACACAACTCTCAAAGCTGCCCAAGAAAGGTATATAATATTACTAATTTAGACATATATATTATTTTATTTAATGCATTTAATCTTTTATCATTATATTTAGTAATAAGGATGAGTTCTTAGAATATATACGAACATACTATGTATATTTATCTATATATAGTATATAGCTATTTTTATATATTGTAGTTTAATTGCTTTTAAAAAAATAATAACTACGTAAGCTCATATAACTTCTGTTTTTGTATTTTAGCAAAATTACACAAAAATTACATTTTGCTAACGCTTTCTGAACTTGTTTGTTATATAGTATATACTAACGATAGTTGCATTAATTGCTCCTGCAAACTTATATAATTAAAACTGCATGTACTTCTAATATATTGTAAATTAATTATATTTTTATTTGACATATGATCAATAATTGTTTTTTTTTTTATTGGCTAGTCCTATTTAAGTTTATTTGTTGCTATTTTTGGGCATGAAAAACTAGTTTGGTTTAAATTGGCTAACTTAACCTAAGTTAGGTTCGAGTCAAAGCAAATTTGAGTTAACTTTCCTGAATAAGGTTCAAATTTGGGTTAAATTTATCTGAATTAGGTTCAAGTTAAACCAAATTCGGGTTAGTATTAGTTTCAAGTTAACCAAACTCAGATTAACCTTAACCTAAAATAGGTTCAACTTGAACTAAATGCAAATATGATTGATAGTGCAGTTGATTAGCTCATGTCAAAGAATAGTCACATGATCAACATTACAAAAATAGTAATTACGTGACAAATTTTAATAGATGATTCTGCATATTAAGTAAGCCATACTAGCCACAAAATCAGTAATAGGTCAATTTAACTCAGGTCAAAATAGAATTTCTCAGAATAATATACCAGAAGTAGTATTCAATCAAAAGTACCTAGGAAAAATAAGAAAACAGAATCTAAAAACTAGAAAAGAAAATATGAAAAAATTTAAAAATCTAAAGTGTGTCATAGTAGAAAATAGTTGGGAAGCAGAGCTAATTAATCAAGTTATTCAAGATGAAAAAATTAGAGAAGAGTTAAAAAATAGGTTAGAGGCAAATAGAAAAGAAAATAGTATTTTATATAGATAGCTCACTTAGTAGTAAAGATATTAGAAATAGAATAAGAATAGGATTTAGTATAGTTCAAATAAATAGCGCAAATAATGTAGTTTTTTGTTATAAGGGAAAGATAGAAAATTGGTTCTCATCTACTCATGCAAAGCTAGTAGCTTGTTTAGTAGTAGTTTTGTTAGTTTCGAATAGATGCAAAGTAGAAATAAAGACAGATAGCATATGCATAATTTTTGCAATCAAGAATTGTCTTAAATATGAAAAGATATGTAAATAGTTAAAGTTGAAAACAACAATATTCTGCATGCAATTAAGAAAGCTTACAAAAGCAAATTAGTTCAGCTAATATTTACAAAAGTCAAAAGTCATTCAGGGGATACATATAATAACCTTGCAAATAAGCTTACAAAAGAAAGAATATATGAAGCAAACAGTATGGAACTGAACAATATTAGTAATAATAATATAAAATATATTCTTGAATGAAAAGAGCTTAGTTTAGAAACTCTCTTAAGAGCTTTCATTAAAAGAGCAGTTCAAACAACATACAAAGCAAAATAGATCTAGTTAAGAAAGAAAAATGATAAAGAATATCAAATGAGAATTTACAAACAGAATTGAAAAGCTTTCAAGGGTATACTTGAAGGCTACTATAAACAATATCAAATCTAAAAGTAAACTACTTGCAATTATTCAAAATCAAATATATCAAAAATCTTCTTCTAACTGTCAAACCTTAAACTGTAGAAGGCTACAACTTTATAAAAATAGTCTATGCAAAAGATGTTTAAAGAAAAAAGAAACAATTAGATATTTAATTATTTGTAAAAAAGTGTAACAATACTATAATTTTTCTGTAATTTTTCTTTTTCATTATTTTTCTAAGTCTTTTCTTAATAATGTGCTAATTACTATAATTACTTTAGCTATATTTAGCTTATCAGCTTATTAAATATAATAATAATTAATTTAGCAAATATAATATAGATAGATAAGCATTATTATGACTTATTTACTTTGTTTTATAGTGCAATTTTGCTTATTAATGATATGATTAACATATGTATTAATGATTAACTTTGATTTGTAATGATTTATATCTATTTTCTATTTTTATCTTTATTTATGTATTATTTTATGTCAGAATCTTCTGGATAGATTAGTAAGCCTAATAAGTGAACTAAGCTTTTATTTTTAATATATTTTTATTCTTAAAATTATGTATATTTAAAAATTATTTAAACCTGACAAAATTTCTTTAATAAAAATTAAGTATTTATTGACAAAAAACTATATAATAACATCTTATTATAACTAAATCTTTACAACTTAGTAGCAGTAAAAAGCTTTTCACCATACTATATACACTTCATTTTCTACATACTATTGCCTTTTTACTTTGCTATACACTTGTTTTATTTGTATTTTTGTTAGTTTCTTTCTCATAATTTTTCTAAACAAAATAACATCTGTACAAAATTTAGTAAATATTATCAGACTACTTGCTAATGCTCAAAATACTCTAACATAACAACTTGGTCAACTCTAAGCCTAACAACAACCTCAAAGATAACAACAACAAAGAAATAATTCTGCATCTACAAAAATTAGTGTAAAAATTTCTATGTTTAAAGGAGAACCTTATGAAAACATAGTAGCTTGGTTATTACAAATACAAACAATTTTCTTAGCACAAGATCTTGCAGATGAACCAACTCAAGTCTACTATGCTACTACAGGCCTTAAAAATACTACTCTACATTAGTACTTAAATAGAGTTGTTACAAATAATAACTAACCTCTATTTAATAATTGAGATAGGTTTGCAAATACAATTAAAAATACTTTTTAACCTTCTAACTATTAACAATACCTCTGTTAACAATTAAAAAGCTTAGGCAAACTGGAACTATAAAGGATTATACAACATAATTCCAAAATATTGTAGAACAAATTACAAATATAGGTGCCTTGGACCAAGTAACGTATTATACTAATAGACTAAAACTTGCAACTAGAATGAAAGTTGCATATAGGGCTCCTGATATCATCACCAAATTTTATTTTATTTTATTTTTTTTTAATTAAAAGCAGCTTACTATGGCGAGCGGATTTTATTAGTTTAATATATGAGGTCATCTGTTGACAATCCCCTATAGTTTGTAATTACATGAAGAGTGTACAACCTGCCACATGTACAACTTTAGTTATTGTCTAATTTAAGTAGTCTGCTATACAGATAGATCACCTGTTTGTTCTACACAAGCTGCTATACCTGTAATCCACTTGTGAGTTACCTATTTAAACACTCTGTTCACCTAACTAATACTAGAATCAACTAACGTTACTGTAATACCTAACTGCTTAAGCCAGCTAGCTCGTTGCAGATCCATTTACCTAACTCAGTTTAGGTTCTCTCGGGATATATATTGCTCAATATATTGTAGCACACAAAGCTCCAGTTAACCTTGTAAGCAATCCTACTAGAGCGGTCTGTGCCTATTTCACAGATTCACCTAGCTTAAACCCTTGTAGATGTTCGTATAATTCTAGTTTCTACCGTAGTTCTTTACTAGTTTTCTGTGTCTATTTTCTTAGATGTTTTATGAGGCAGATCCTCCCAATTCAGTTAGCCACCAAGCCAGGTTGGTGTTACCAATTCTCCCTGTAGAATGGATTTATATGCACCCGACTCAATTGGCATCTTTTGATGATAGTTTCTTTTCTGGATCAAGCATTAGCCGGTATGATTATTGAAAGCTATACTACTTCACCAACTCAGGATTTCTACTATGCAGATCTCCTGCTCATAGATTCTATCAAGATTTATTCATATAACATTACGCTTTCTGAACATTCCGTCACATTTTCAATATCTGAATGATATTTGTGCAATATGATTTACAGAGTTACAACTTCAAAAACAAACAGAGTTTACTGTAAGTTGGGTACAAAGGTCTGAGTAATTATTCAAATTCGTCAACAGTGGAATTTAAACCCCAGATCTCTTGCATAGCAGTCTGGCAACCTAACCACTACACTAAGATCACTAGACCTTATCACCAAATTTTATTAGAGGATATATATCAATATATATCTATAAAAGATATATATCGATTTAAATCCCCTCTGTCATATATAATCGATTACTACATAAATCAATAAATAACGATTAACTATTAAAAATCATTAAAAAATGATTTAATCAATTATACTAATAAATATCGTTAATTAATGATTAGAATTTATTTGAAACGATTAATGTCAATATCAAAAATTTAAAATCGTTATATAAAAAATTATTATCAATATAAAATAATTTTAATTAATATTATAAAAATCCAAATTGAATGTTATTGAAATAGCAATAGATTAAATTATAAATTTATATTTCTACTAAACAGATTTAGCTTTATATTATAAAAATATTACTAATTTATTAATACTTTATTAATTTGATACTTTTATTAATTTGATAATTACATATCAATTTACTATACAAATTATAAGCAACAAAAAATATATATTTAGGACTATATGTAGTAATAGATCGATTTCTATTTGTATCAAGAAGTCAAAGGAAAACATCCTAAGCAAAAAAAAAATAGCAAAAAAAAAAACAGCAAAAAAAAAACAGCATAGCAAAAAAAAATAGTACAAAAAAAATAGCAAAAAAAAAAAAAAAAAAAAAACAGCAAAAAATAATATTAAAATCATTAATATTCGAATTTATTCAGGTCAAAAAGACTATCTTGTTTATCTTCAGAAATAGCTATAAAACTTCCTTGCTGTGAGGCGAGAGCACTTCCTTGCTGCAAGCTAGGAGCAGACCTAGCTTTGTCAGTTTGTTCGTCTTGAGGAATCACTAATTCATTTTCTATTATATTATTGGATGAGGTTAGGGAAGGACCACTACGCTCGAAATCAGCCTACATTTAAATATATTAATCAAAATAAATCAGAGAGAGTTTTTTTTTTTTTTTTTAAATTATTAGGATATCAGATAATAATATCTGATTGTTTTCATTTTTGAATATATGTACAAAAATTGAAACCAATAGACACTAACTTTGTGTAATCTAATTTTAAATATTTATAAGAAAGCTCAAAAGATGATATTTCATTAGTTTTTTACCACAGGTGGTAGTTTTTAATCATAGATTTAAGATAATGTCACAGACTGATAACGCAAAAGTACAATACTCCACAGTTATAGATTCAGCAAATACTTTGCGTGCAATTGCTGTGATCAATATACGTCGTTATGATTTTTTCAAATAATAGTTTGTGGCAATTCTCAACTTCATGTAGCCTTTTCCAATTTACAACCTCTTTCGAAGTGGCACTACTTTTTAGTAGTGATAGTCTCTCTGAACCAAAAATATGATTCATCACACCTTTAACTGCCTGCACTATCGTACCCCTATGGTTTTTCATTTTTTGAAGCATCTGTTTGTCAAAAATATAGTTTAAGTGAATATTTCAATAAAAAAAATGAACTTATAATAAATAAATCGAAAATTATTGATGTTTAACAAATATTTACTTACCAAACTATACCACTCGCTATAAAAGTGATTTGAATAATCTGTTACACTCATATTATAATCAGAGAATTTTGCAGCAAGATAAT